AAGTTAGTGGATAGACTTCTTTTTTTAATTTAATTCTTATTTTTATTTATATAACTCATTTCATTTACATTAGAATCCATTTTTTTTCTTTCAATAATCTTAGTAATAACTACCTCATGAAAGCCAGTTACTTCATGCCTCATGCCCTAATATGACCATTTTAGAAAGCCAGTTTCTGATTTGCCATCCCTATGAAAACTGTTCTCTGAGAGAACAAGCAAACACTTCTTTTGCTGAAGAATCCTCTGTTCAACTTGGCGACTTTAAGCATCTGTATTCACTAGCAATGTCCAGTCCAAAGCATGCCATCAGGCTGCAGCAATCGACCCTTGCTCACTGCACCAATCATCCATCCTCTCTTCATCTGGTTGGGTTCTGGCCAACTCATCCCAGCAATCTGTGTCTAGGCTCAAATAAGCATCAGCTGCAAGCTCAGGAGTCCACACTTGTCTCTGCGATCTCCTCAGTCCTAGTCTTCACAAGGGACCAAGTCAACAAGCCAGGGGTCCCTTACAGCTCCTCAAGCCAATAAGAGGGACAGCGCAGGAGGGGAAGACCCTCTATGAGGTGGACTGATTCAGTGACTGGGGTGATCCAGATGGGTATGTCAGAGGCAATGCGATTGGCACAGGATAGAGCAGGGTTTAGGGCTGTTGTACATAGGGTCGCTATGAGTCACAAATAACTCGATGGCACATAACAACAACAACTTCACCCAGACATGTGTGCATACTAGGTGAGCAGCGCTAAAGGAGCGCATCAAAGTATAGCTTGTTACTCTATTTTTTTATTCCTTCAACTTCTCCTGTAAATCCAGATGACTGCCATGAGCGAGCATACTCCAAGCTCAAGTCTTGGAAGAGGGCTCTGATGGGCACCAAGTTTACCCTGCTTCAGAAGCCAAACAGCTTGTCCCAGTTCTGAAAGTCAGTCTCTTACTTTATTCTTTTTCCTTCTCTCCTTGCCAGCTTGCCCTTCTTTGCAAATGTGTTGTTACCTCTTCAATCAGAGTTCTACTATGGGTCCACTAACGTATTCAAATGTAAATCTCCTCATAGTACTGGGAGGGACTCAATCTTTCCCCTCAAACAAGTCCTAAAAGCCTGTAGCAGGTTCTACTTTTGACAAGCTCTTCTGGGCAAATCTTCCATCTCTAGTCAGGAAATAAGAAGATGCATTACAGTGGGAAAATCTGCAGTTAGACACCTTTCCAAATTATTTAGGAGTAGCGATGTCAGCTTGAGGACTAAGATGAGCCTGATTCAGACCATAATCTTTCATATTGTTAGCTATGTACCTGAAATCTAGAAAATGAATAAGGATGGCAGGAAAAGAATTGATGCCTTGGAGGTGTAGTGTTGGAGAAGAGCACTGAACAACCCATGGACTGTCAAGAAAATGAACACATAGGTCTTGGAGAGGGTGCATTTCAAGTGCTCTTTGGAGGCAAGAATGATGAGGCTTCACCTCACATACTTTGGACATACTGCTAGGAGGGGCTATTCCTTGGAAAAGGACGTGATGCTGAGAATGGAGGGCGGGCGAAGGAGAAGAAGATCCTCAACCAGTTGGACTGACAAGGTGGCTGCTGCAATGGGTTCTTGTGTGTCAGGAAGTGTGAGGATGGTGCAGAATAGAACAGGGTTCAGATCTTTTGCTCCTAGGGTCACTATAAGTTGTGCTTTTATGATAACAACAAAACCAAACCCAGCCCAATCCTACTGATTCTGACTCTTAGCGACCTTCACTAGGTTTCCAAGACTGTAAAGTCTTAACGGGAGCAGCCTATTTTAGCTTTCTGATGAATGGCTGGGAGTTTAAAATGAAGACTTTTTGGTCAGTCGCCTAACACTTAACCCACTATTCCACATGAGTTCCTTCCATGTATTAAATTCAAAATAATTCACTGTCTTCAAGTCAGAGCTTACTCATGCCTGAGTCCTCAGCATGCTTCTGAGGCTATAAATCACACAGTAGGGGATTTGCTCATCTTTCTCCAGTGGCACTGCTAATAGATTTGAACCTCCAGAGAGGCAAGGCTCTTCGGTTAGCAGCACAGCTCTTTACAGACGATACCAGAAGAGATTTCCATCACTCATTAAGCTCTTTTTTAATTTTTTTGAGTCATACATTGTAGTTCTCTGCACAAAGGCATTGTCCAACTTTGTTAAATGTATTCTTAAGAATTTTATGGGTTTTGAGAGTTCATAAATGGAAATTTTTAAATTTCATATCCCAGTTGTTAACTAATAAAAGAAACCAGTTTTTTTTTTATTTTTTAAGAAACCAGTTTTTATATGACACTCTTATCTTGAGACATCTTAAAATGTTGTTATTATTAAGCCAAGTAGTTTCTCTGTAAATTCCTCAGGATTTTCTGCCATTTTCTATACAGATCTTCAATGAGTAAGCTAAAGTTGACTCTACTTTTTTATTAAGTTGCTTCCCCCGCCCCCCCCCGTATTTGAAATAGTCAAGGACCTACTATCAAGTTGAATAAAATTGTTTAAACAAAAATGTTTTGACCATTTGTCAAATTTTGGGGAGTAAGAATTCATTCAGTCATTATTAAATATGAGAAGGTTATGTAGACTTTATCAGGTTGAGGAAGTTTTCTTCTCTTTTGTCTTTGCAGAGAATTTTTATTTTGAGTGGATGCTGGCATCTAGGAAACACATTTTCTGCATCTATTAAGATGTTTTTCACCTTGGCTTTGCCTTTCCATTTTGTTCAATGCTGAATCACATTGATTGACTTACCAATATTAAGCAATTTCTGGTTTAAACCTTTATTGGTTACAGTGTATCTTGGATCTTGTTTTATAGTAAGTAACACATTGACCTGAAATATGAGAAGTCAGTGGTTCAAATCAAACAACTGCTCTTGGTTAGAAAGATGAGCAGTTTCTTTCCATAGAGATCTACAGTGTCAGAATCTGGATGGAGGATCTCTGTAGGTAGGAAACTCCTCAATGGGAACTGTGGTCACAAGACTAGCATCACTCCCGACATACTGCATCAGAGTGTGCATCTATTTGAAGATTCTGGGTCTCTGTTCACTGGGGACATTTGTTCATCAAGTTTAATATCTATATTGTACTTAACTCCTTCTGCCACCAGGGCTCCTTTACCTCACACAGGTTTCCTGTAAATAGCTAGCTAGCTGCTTGGCTGTTGTTAAATGCTGTCAAACTGATTACAGCTCATAAAGATCCCATGTGACAGGCAGAGTTGAATTACCTTGCTGGGCTGTACTCTTTACAGAAGCAGATCATAAGGTCTTTGCTCCAGGGAATGGCTGAAGAGTTCAAACTGTAGTCCTCTGCATAATGCTGAGCTCTTAACTATTGCCCCACAAGGCTCCTGCCAAGTGTCCCTTATAGACACTAAGTTGCTCTCATTTTCCCTCTAGACAGAGTGAGGCGTATGGATTTGATCTCATGCTGCCCTAAGTTCTATCTGAAGCAGTAAGTTACAAACACATGCCCTCCTTGCTACCTGGATAAGCAAATGGCATCAGGCAAATCCCACTGTAATCTCATTTGATGCCCATCTGATCTCTCAAGGAGATTTCATCTACTTTCTGCCTGCTTGGACAGGTTGGTAGCCAAGGTCTTAAAATAGTGGGCTTTTAGATGATTTTGTTTTTAAATACTTGGCCTAGATGTGCAACTGTGGAAAAGAAACCTTGGTAGCATAATGGGTTAAGTATTGGGATGTTAACAGAGATGTCAGCAGTTTGAACCCACCCGCTGCTCCTCAGCAGAAAGATGAGCCAGCCTGCTCTAGTAAAGATCTCCAACCTCAGAAATCCCATGAGGACCTTCTGTTATGTCCTATTAGGTCTCTGTGGGTCAGAACTGATTTAACGGTTGTGGGCTTCGGTATCTGTGTGAGAGTTAGCCTTATTCTGACATGGCCAGAACCACAGACTTTTGTGCACAGATTTATACACAGAAATTATGGTTATTAATTAAACTAATAAGTATTCCTGCATACTAGAGGATAAGAACCATAGACAGACAAAGCAACAATTTCGACGAAACCATTTTGTTTTCAAACAAACAAAAATTTCTCTGTATCAATATGCTGTATACGGTGAAGGGGAGAAAATAAGTTGTGTCCAGCATCAAGGCAATGAGTTATTTATACTGATGTTGTAGGGTGGACATCAATGTGGATCAGAGGTAGAATGTAAGCCTTGAGACAACGCCAGGGACAAAGTAAACTCACAAAGGATGGCTTCTGCTGCCAATACCACTAATTGTTTCTAAGACAAAAGATACAGATCCGATAGATAGAAACTTTACTAGAAAGTCATTATTACTTTCTACTTGACTAGCATTCTATTTTGCCTGCAACTATTTCTTTCTAGGTGAAAAGTGGAAGACAAATGACCATATATTTGAAAGTGATAAGGATCTTCACTGAGAGTTGCAAAAATCCCTGTACATTTCTGACTCCTAGATGCAATTATCAATACAATTCCCATAACATACCGAGTGACTGAGCAATTTCTCAGACTCAAGTCAAATAATATTGATTCTGTATTTCTGCCCTGAATGCTTTTTAAATGTAGATCTCTTTATTACTACGTTACTAAAGATAAAATCAGAGTCTCTGATTTTAAACACATCACATACATTCCACCAAAAAAGTCTTCATTAAAAGATGTCAAAGTAATATATGAAATGATGCTTAGCCTTGCTCCAGGAGAAGGGTGGCAATCTTGATGTGCTTATTATAGTGGTTACAAACATACATAACCTTTCCACTACAGTGTAAAAAAAAGGGGGGAATAAAATTTTAAATTTTATAAATTTTAAAATGTTAAAAATTTTATAAGACCATTTAATAGCGGGGTGGGGGAATCTTCATTCACGCAAAATCCATAAATGAACAGTTTTAACTAAAGATACAATCAGTCAGAGATTAGGATTTAATAATTCAAAGAAGACAAAGGTGTTAAATTGTCAAAATCAATTGATTGTATATTCTTACCAAGGCTTCATGATCTTCTGCAACTTTTGGTATCGCCTGAAAAAATTAAAAGAGTCACGTGAGAAGCATGCTTAAAAGCAATGATTTTTACCCAAAGGGCATTATCTTGAAAAAAATCCCATTCTGTCAAGTCTGTTTCAATTCATGGTTGTCATAAGTATCAAAGAATGAAAAATCTGTCCTATCCTATGTCATCTTCATGTTTAAACATACGTGACAAGGAAAATGTATCCATTTCAAAATTATTCAAAGCAATGATTTCATATACTTGAGCAATAAGAAACTACTACTAAATTTATTAAAGTATTGTTACAAATTATTAACTTACAAGTAGAGACAACAAAACAAATCCATTTAGATCAGAGTAGAAATATATTTAATGGGGGGAAAACTCCAAAGATAAGGAGAGTGAGAGAGTCAGGGAGAGGGAGAAAAAGAGGGAAGATGGGAGGGAGAAAAGGATAGAGTGGGAAGACAATGGGAGAAGAGTAGAAGGCAGAGAGGGGTGGGATATGGAGGACAGAGAAGACCGGAGGGAAGAAGGAAGTGGAGCTAAAAAGTACTAGCTTAAACTTGGGTTTAGTCTAGGGCAATACGTTGTTTCAATCAATTATTTATACACATTTTGTTCCATAAGCTTAATTACAATAGCCACAGTGTCTGATCACTCACTCTTTCCATATTGTCTTTTCTTTCATCCATATTAATAAGTATTCATGCATATTAATAACTATTACATTTTAACTCCCCTATCCCCTTCCCTGGTAAGCATTCTAGTATGATTCTCTGTGTAAATCTTTCTTTAGCTTTTTTAATAGTGGTCTGAGACAGTATGTGTCCTTTTCATCTGTAGAAAGACATACACCACAATCCAATCATCTGGGGCATTAAGATTGGAGTCTTAGAATGGTGGCTATTGTTGACAGGTGTCATCGAGTCAAGTTTGACTCATAGCAACTCTATGAACAGTTGATCTGAACCCTGCCCTACCTATCCTGTGCCATCCGTATTATCTCTGATACTCTAGAGCCCATTACTGAAGTCACCATGTCAATTCATCTCCTTAGGAGTCTTTCTCTACTTTGCTGACATTCCATATTTCTAAGCATAAGGTTCCTTTCCAAAGAATAGCTTCAACTCCAAAGTAATGAAAGACGAAACTTCGCCATCTTTGCCTCCAAGGACCACTCTGGTTGAACTTTTCCCAAGACATATCTGGTATTCTTTTTGCAGTCCATGGGATATTTAGTACTCTTCTCCAGCACCACAACTCAAATACATCAATTCTTCCTCTGTCTTCCTTTATCTTTGTCTGCTCTCTGATGCATAGCAGGTGACTGAGAAGACCATGGTCTGAATTAGACATTCCTTAGTCCTCAAAATGACATCACTTCTCCACAGCATTTTGAAGAGATTCCTGAGAGATTTTCATAATGCAATTGTTTTTGTTGTTGTTGATTGCCTTCGAGTTGAGCATGACTCATAGAGACACTATGAAAAAACAGCTTGAAGCCCCTCTACAACTATCGATATTTAACAAAGTTCATAGGGTTTCTGGAGGCATGTTATTTAAGGAGTGGATGCCACTCCTGCTTCCAACATAATGACTCCTGATTTCTTGACTGCTGGTACCAAGGGTGTTGACTGCTGGTTCAAATAAGATTAAATCAATTACAGAGTGTGTTTTTTTTTCTCCATCTATCATAAAGTTGACTGTTGGTCCTGTGGTGAGGATCTTTGTTTTTTGATGTTGAGATGTAATCCATACAGAAGACTATAATCCTTGATTTTCTGTGGCAAGGTTTCCAAGCCTTCTCACCTTCAGCAAGCAAAGTTGTATCGTCTGCATAATACAGGTTGTTGAAGAGTCATCCTCCAATCAAGATGCCATATTTTTCTTCATAGAGTTCAGCTTCACAAATTATTTGCTCGGCATATAGACAGAATAAGTATGGAGAAAGGATACAGCCTTGACGCACACCATTTCTGATTTTAAACCATTTAAGAGCCTGTGGTGATGAAGGAAGAAGTTCAAGCTGCTTTGAAGGAAATAGGAAAAAATTAAGGCCCCAGGAATAGATGGTATACCAATTGACGTATTTCAGCTAACAGATGCTGCCCTGGATGTGCTCACCAAGTTGTGCCAAGAAATCTGGAGAACAACCACTTGGCCAACTGAATGGAAGAGATCTATATTTGTTCCCATTCCAAAGAAGGGTGACCGAACAGAGTGTGGAAACTACAGAACAATCTCATTGATTTCACATGCAAGTAAAATTCTACTGAAGATTATTAAAAAACGATTGGAACAGCACATCAGCAGAGAACTGCCAGAAGGTCAGGTTGGGTTTAGAAGGGGTCGTAGTACTAGGGATACTGTAGCTGATGTTAGATGGATCTTAGCTGAGCAGGGAATACCAGAAGAATGTATATCTGTGTTTCATTAATTACGCAAAGGTTTGACTGTGTGGATCATAATAATCTGTGGGTGACTCTAAGAAAAATGGGAGGGTGGAGCTGGGAAGTAAGTGGGTCAAAGCACGGGCTAAGGGTGGGGTCAACACTTTAACTAACGCTTACCCCCACAATAAGGGATTTATCTTTATCTGCTCCACAAATTGCTGTCTGTCAGATACTCCTCTAAATCTGAACATTCAGATTAAGACAGACTAGGAAGAAGGATTGGCCACCCACTTCTGAAATAGCAGGCCTCTGAAAACCCTATGCACAACAGAACACACGCAGATTAAGAAAAAGGGCAACCTAGGTAGAACTATCAAGTATGGAAATACAAGGGAGGAGGAACAGCTGTAAGCAGACCGTAGTGATTGGAACATGGAATGTGAAAGCCATGAATGAAGGAAAATTAGAAATTGTTAAGAAAGAAATGGAATGCATAAATATTGACATATTAGGCATTGGAGAGATGAGATGGACTGGCATGGGGCATTTTGAGTCTGATGACCATATGATATATTACTCTGGAGATGAAA